GGTGAAATGTTTAAGAACATTGTGGGTTGGGTTTTTTTTTCCCTTGGTAGAGCATGCTTCTGATGTTAGTCAAATTCCATAAAACATGAGAACATTGTATAACCTGAGAAATCTGCTATAACGTTGGAGTTTGAGGCCAAAATAAAGCTCTAACACCATTGCCTCCACATTTCTTGTGGGCCCAGGTGACAAAACCAAATGTTTTTGAAATGGACTTTGAGAACGTTTCATTTCTGTCCTCTCTGATCCTGTTGATGGCTATAGAGTGCTGTGTGAATCAGCTTTTGTGCTTTGTACTTGAGACTTAGCAAATATTGGTCATTTTAAAAATTGATATGGAAAGAGAAAGTTATGTCTGCATTTCTATCGATGGTCGTGCATAGGTAGAGCGCAAAGTGCGAATGCTAGTTCTGGGTCCTTCAGTGCATTCTCTTTTGTCCTGCAAAAGCAGGAACCACTTGTGATTTAGGAAACAAAAACAAACAAAAAAAGAGACAAGAAAGGAGCCTTTGCCAGTAGGAGTCATTTGATGCCTTAACTGTATCCTGAGCACTTTTTTTTACTTAAGGGAAAATTTAAGGAAAGCAGTGTGACAGTTGTAAATATGCTACACGCACAAAGATAGATCTCTTTCTCTCCTGTCTTCTGTAAAGTTCTCCTGCCAATGTGGTCAATCTGTCCATGGATCTCTGAGACTTGGGAGCCTTTTCATTATCTACCCAATTAAAGAAAAAAAAAAGCCCAATCCAAGTGCTAGCTGAAGCTAACTGATTAGGAGTAAGTAATGTATTCACTAAGCTTTAAAGAAAGCTGTATTAAGATACTTTTGAAAAAAATAGTTTATAAATTCTGAAATAGCGGTAGATTTTACTTCTAGCTTTTTTCTGTTCTAAGCAAATCTTGGTCTGAGTTCTTTTGATTTGAAATTTTTCATATTTTGACCTGGCCATGTTTGAGCAGAACTCTTCAGAAATTTAAGTATAGGAAGGCAATAAATGTGGTTTAAGGAGCTCTGATGTTTAAGCATTTACACACTTTCCTTGTTCTGTACATATGCTTAAGATGCAATTTGCTTACCTAAAGATGATATGAATAGGAATTTTTTTTTAATAATTTTTTCAAATTAAAAATTATGCAAACTATTAATTCACAGTTAAGTATGAAAGTATCCTCACAACGTCTTTTTCAAGCAGGTAAATGCAATTGTCCACACTTTACAGACAGAAGATGCTATCCAGGTTGCAAACAATACAATAGGTTGTATAGTGTTTTCTTTTTAACCTTGTCATTGTGAAGAAATTTTGATGAAGCACAGAATCACTTCCCAATGTTTGTTTCTATTTTAAGTTCATTTATGCATACATTGATATGTTATATTTTTATGCTATGATTGTATTAAGATTCACCCACAATGACCTTTTAGGGGTTTTGTACCTTTTTTTTTAAAGAATGAATATTATATGAAAGTCTGATTGCGTTTTTTCACATGTGGACACTTGGCTAGGATCTTGTTCATTAAGAATTACATGTCCCTTTTTGATTTCTGACAGTAGTAAGAAAAATGAACTTGGAAGTCATGCACTTTTGACTAAAGCAGGTGTACAGGGTAAAAAGAAGAGCAAACCAATGCCGTGTGCCTCACGACAGCCCAATCCTTTGGACCAAACTTGTATTCATCCAGAGTCTTACAACATTGCAATGAGGTAAGCAGTGGAAAAGCTTTTGAACCATTGACACTGTCAATCTTTAAAATAAAGGTACTGAATTTCCTGACAACAGCCTCCTCAGCCTTTTGAGACAGGAATACTTGTATTAATTTGATGCTTTCTCCTCTCTCTTCAAGAAAAAGATAGACTTCAGAAGGTCTTTACAAGTGAAAGGTTTCAATTGGTGTGTTTTGCCTCTTATATGCATGCAAGTTTTTAGTTTTACTCTTTGTTCTTTTTTTGTTTTCACGTTGTTTTTCAGTGAGGAAATCAGTGAATTTTCAAAACATCACCAAACTTCCCTCCCGTGGCCAGATTACCCTCCTTGTGACCCTGTCGTCTTCATATTGCCATTTTGTGCCTTGTTGAGGCATTGTCTCACAAAGTGGAGACAAATCATTTGTTCTAAAAATCTCTAAACTGATTTTTTTCTTCTTCCTTGCCCCCATGTATTATGTGAAAGACCATAACTAAAACATAATTTTATTTGTTCTTAAAAATAATCTAATTGAAATGTCATGCAAATTTTCAGTCAGTGGTAGTTTTAATACCTCTGCATCATTAAGAACTGCTTTTACTTTATTGCTTATGTTCAACATGTGACAAACAAACTTTCTGCTTAGCGAATTTTGACCACCAGAATTTGTTTATTTGCATGTTTGAGTGTGCACACAAGTGCATGAACATATGTAAGCATATGTCATTATTATAAGCCTTTAAAATTACATTCTGATATTGCGAGATCTAATTAAGATGTATATATTAACTTCCCGAATACATGAATGCCATGGTGGTTTTACTAACTGACCTTTGGCTAAAAGAAGAGAATGGTTTTTGTGTAGATCAGAAAAAAGTAATTAGGAATCCATGTGTGCCTCTGGTTAGGGGATACTGCAGCTGGTAAATGCTAGTATAAGCTGTGATCTTTTCTATCGTCAGCCCAGGTTGAAATTGGACTCTGCTTGTCCTCTTGAGAAAACATTATCTCCTACCATAAACCAGCACATATTTATTTTTTTAAGTGATTTGCAGTGAACAGGTTCTTTTCTTAAAATGTGCTGGAGCTAATTTTAGTGGTAGCTAGATGCTTTAGGATTCTTACGATCTCTATTGAGAATATTATTCCTGGAGAAACAGAATCGTGCTTCCTGTTTTATAAACAAATCCATCTTCAAGCCTCCGAGAGATATGCTGAATTTCTGAATTCATGAAGCTTGAATTTCTTATCTAAAAAAGTCTTACAGGACCTTGTGTTTTTAGGACACCTTCCCTATAGTGTGTGCTCTGTTCTCTCTCCGGTGGAGATAATTGCGTATACAACTTCGTATGCATAGGTCTGCGTGCTTTCCTTCTGCTAGGCCTGCAGTGCACTTCTGTTCCATCCTTTGCCTACCACAGGTCGTTCTTCTTTGTGCCTGATTCAGAGGCCATGGTGCAGTTGCTTGCTAGAGTCCATGCTCTTTGTGCAGTGTGTAGCTAACTTTGGTTTCTCCTTTTCGGCAATCATTTCCCTTTTTTTCTTACACATCGACATTTGTTGCTAGTTCTCTGCCCTATGGATAGCTGTGGATAAAATCAGGTAAGGTCCTGATCTTAATGATCTTACATTTGGAAGGTGGCTTGTAGGGTGAGGAAGCTTGATCACCCCTACTGGAAATTATTCAGAGGGAGTCAGTGTTTAAAAAACCAAACAAACAAAACCAACTTCAATATTGTATTTCAATTTAAATATCAGGTAGTCAGGATTTGGTTAATAGTCCATTTAGCTTTCCAGCCCTAGTACACTAAAAATAATCAGTAAAAGTGTTCACAGTGTTACCAACTTTGCTTAAGGGCTGGTGTGGAAAGATTGCTTCAGGGAGCAGAGAAGTGTAGCCAGTTAATGATGGAATACTACAGCAATTTATCTACATACAATACCATCAGAAAAGTTGGTCAGAAAATAAAGAATTGTGACTTTGTTTCCAGAGCAGCACAGATTATTACTGCATAGGGTAGCTCAGATATTCACATACAGTTGAAAGTCTGAAGGCAATTTTAGCAGGTATGACACATCATATAATTGTGATTAGGAATTTGGCTGGGGACCTAGGATTAGCACTGTTAAAAAAAAAAAAAAATATTCAAACAAACAATGAGAACAAATTTTACATCTCAACCAAAAGATAGTGGTTTGAGTCACAAGCTTATGCATGATTCAGAGAAGAGGCTGCCTCCTATTGTGCAGCCAACACTGCTTAGAAGGTACCTTGCTGGTTCTTAAAATGTGCTCAGCATCAAACTCACTGGACTTCGAGAGCTCCAAAGCCATTGCAGAAGTATGATGTGGCTACAGACCAGTGCTACCTATCATGTCATTTCTCTTTGGCTAATGCAATTACTTTAAAGTAAGTTTCCAGCTGTGCTATTGTCTGTTCTCTGTTTCTCACCAAACACTTTGCATTCCTAGACTGAATTTTCAGGTGAAGTATTTAGATCCAAGTGTGTGTTGAAGGTATTGTACTGTACAGGGTTTTTTTATGCAAAAGAATATCAGTTGATATCAAAACAAATATAAAAACACAATAACAATATATGCTAATGGAACACCAAAACTAATAAGCATAGCATCTGTCTCTGTAACTAACTGAATCGATCTTTTCTGTTTTCTTTGGGCTTTTTCTCTGTTGTCTTGTTTCTTACATTTATGAGTATCTGAACACATAGTTTGACATGGGGGAAAAAAAATATCTCAAAGTGCTTTCTGTGCTTACTATGAATGTACTCTACCTTCAAAAGTATTTTTCTTTTTCTTGCAATCAAAAGATAGTTTCTGTGAAAGCTCGTTAAATACAAGGTGATAACTTTTATGGTATAGATTGTATTAACATTACCTAACTTCATATCAGAAAATGGTGTGGGGAACAGGGCAAATATCTCTGATGTTTTTTCATTGCAAATAGCTCTTTGAAGGAAAGAAAATAAAGCTCTGCAGCAAACTGACAAAAACCAATAGTGTAGTATTAAAAATTGACACTCATGACATAAGGGCTAAATATAAACCAGACATCCTCCCCTCAAGCAACTAATGCTATAATTTAGCAATGATTATATATTTAAAATGACTTTTCAAAAAAAGCATATGAGCTGTTAAGCTTCTCAGAGCTTATGGAAACAGCTTTCCAAACCAATTTGCTGCCTAAATATGAATTAAGAAAAAATTCTGCTAGCAATTCAGACTGCATGGAGGATTCAGTCCAAAGCTTGTCGGGGCTGTTGGTGAGTTTTGCTGACTTTGATAGGCAGTGGATGGGACTGATCATGTAATTCCCTTTTGCTGAGCCTATGTTCAGAAGAAAGCTTCTGAGAGCCTGGAGATCAAATCATGTTCATGTTGTTGATTTGAGGGGTCTTACTGAAATAAACCAACATCCAAAGGACTTTTTAACATGTTAGAACTAAATTAGGTTTAAAACCTAATTGATAATTCTTATAATTGAAATTAATGTGCATATGAAAAATTGAGATTGTTAGATGTGAGTTAGAGTCAGTATTTAATACATATTTTAAATACATTTTAAAGGAGTTCTGTTGCTTTGCTGCTTTCAAAGTATTTCTTTCTTCTTTTTCTGTGCTTACACAGAACTTGTCAGGGACCATGTCAAACTCACAGGTGGATCTGTGCTACCAAAGGGCAGAATTGTTGTCCTGAAGATGGGCAGATTTGATTCAAGGCATCAAAATACAGTATTACATACCTCTTACCACAGAAATCAAAATGAATGGAATGGATGCTGCTTAAATGAGTCATAAAGGCTTTCTCGTGCAATGCCTACCATATCTTGCCATGAGAAAGTCGTTTGTGAAAATTTTATTGGATTAAAAGTTTTCATGGGAAATTACATTTATTTTTAAACAAAATAAGCTGGTAATTTTTATCCACTGCTTCTATCCAAATTACCCAAAAGCAGCAGTCCACATTACAGATTTACGACATACAAAATTATCAGGTTTTAAAACAATGTTTTTGAGGGATAGAAGTTCACCAAAATTTGAAACCACTTTATTTTTCTGAACTATTCTGCAGCTTGATAGGCCAATCCATTCAAAAAAAAAATTGGTTAAAAGAATTACTCTCAAGTGGTGACTTTGGTTGCCAAGCTTTAGGCTGGAGCCAATTTTTACGGCTGAATTAGAAACCCCTGAAAAATGGGGTTTTTATAATGGAAACACTGACGTAATCTTTACTACAGTGGCACAAATGGTGCTGGTATGATTGATTTATGTCATTTAAACATTTTAACTTAAAATCTGTACAATTTCTGTAAAATAATTGGAAAACATCCTACTGATGATTTAACATACTCTGCAGATGACCAAAATATTTCTGTTCATGGTTTCCACACTGTCAAAGCTTGGCTTTGTTATGTGCAGCGATCAAGCTTAAGAACACCTCTAAATATTATGAATCAGAATTTCCTAAAAGTTAAATTAAAAAAACCCACGACCTTTGTAGGCAGCATATTTTCCTGCAAAGCAGAGCTGTGTTTCAAGTTTCTGAAAAGCCTATATGTGAAAACCAGTTTATAGTGGTAGAATCTTCTACATACAATTAATGTAACATGTAGAGCCTGTCCGATTTCTTGGTACATATTGTAAAAGAACCAACAGGAAGTCCCAAGAAGTTACAACCAGGTTATGCTTATAAAGCAAAATGCTGGAAAGAAAACGCAATTTTTGTTGTTGTATCAGTCTGCTGGGTGCAGTTGGTTTTGTATGACTGAATCTTAACATTTGCTGATTTTTATTTAAATATCATAAAAATGCTCTTTGCTAAAGGTTGGCACTCAGAATGTGTATTTGTTGTTCAGGTTGCAGCATCTGGCAGACAAGTTGTATTTCAGTCTGACTTACAAGTATTCTACCAATATTTATAAAAGATCTAAACTTGTGGTTTATCATAACACAGGTTAGGATCTTCCTTGGCCAATTACCCAAGTTTAGGATCTTACCTAGTA